TCTCAGATTAAGTGGAGCTGCTACTGTGGCAGCAGAAGATCAAGCACTGATAACCCACATTGGCTTGGCAGGGATCTCTGCCAGGGATTACTGTAGCTGCTGAAGTGACAGAAACAGCCCAGACACAAGTCCCTGGGAAGCAAGGCAGTCTGAACCCCTTCACCCAGTGATGTACTGGCAAAATAAACCCCCATCATCTTAAGCCTTAATAACAGCCAGTTTTCATTATGTAATTTCCCTGATTAAAACAATCTCCTTTTGGATTGCCTTTGAAATCCATTTGGAATATGCTCAGTGCCACCAAGACACTACTGTGCATATATGAATGAGCTGATTCCAGTCAGTTCAACAAATATCTATTAAACAGTTTGTGCAATCAAAGTAGAACACTAAAGGCTGGAAATGATATCAAGCCAAGTCTTTGCTCTCCACCACCTCACAGTATGGCTCATACAACAGCACATCAGCATGCCCAAGTATAAGATATGACTGCAAAGACACCAAGATAGTCTTGAGGTTAAAGTTACCAAAGCAATTTCTTTGGAAGCCATTGTGCACCAGAATGGCTGCTAGCCAGGACTCTGTTACATCCATGACATTTACGCAGCAGTGTAGAAGACTCTCGTTCTCTGCTTGAGATGTGCTATTGATGATGTGGGATGCCATGTGGTGAGTGCCTCCTTTCCCCCACGAAAACCATGCCATATTCAGTAGAAAGTAATAAGCTTACAATTGGGTGGATTGAGCCCTTGATTGAGGTATTGAGATGTTGAGTGATTCTTGGTTAAAAAAAGGGGGGGCACTTTTGAACCTATTTCTTCATGTTTGATCCAAAGAAGAGGATTAATGACTTCATACCAGGCTATTTAACAATAGACATGTGTAAGACACACAGAGCTTTGGGGCTTAGGAGGCTTTGGAAATGAGCAAGGTGTGGTGACTACTGGTGGTGGCAGAGCTCCCATGGAATTTGTCCGACTTAAGTTCCTTCCCACCTGAGAAGAAGAAAAAGATGGTAGAAAGGAGCAGCACACCCAGTGGACAGAAGCAGAACTGGAGATGATAGGTACGAGCCAGCAGGCTGCAAACCTGCCATGACCATGCCCAGAATAACGGCAGGGCAGCCGGTGCCAAGGGCAAGGTGATGTGCAGCAGCCTGGAGCTCTCACGGGTTGTGCCCCCCAGACATGCTGCTCAACTGCACAATCACCCCGACTCTGAGCAACAACAAGATATCAGAGATGAAGAATGTTTCATTTTCTGGGCTAAGTCTCCTTGAAAGACTTCCATGATCTATGCTACCTCCAGAAACCAGATTGATGTCCATGATCTGTGCTGCCATGGGTAACTATGGGCAGGGAAGCTTCTTTTGCAGTGATATTGGTGACTGTAGACTCATAACTGAGAATGAGAGTCATTGAAGGCTTCTATGACAACCTCCTCTGCACCCCCCACCCCTGTCCCAAAAAGAAAGAAATAGTCCCTAGACATGAAGCTATTGAAAGGAGTTCTTAAAAAATGTGATAAAGATGCTAAAGTGTAGCTCTTCACAGTTGGTGGCTTCTTGGGGTGAGGTGGGGTGGGGAAGGACTCAGTCTTCTTTAAGGGGCTGGCCACTGGGAGTGTGACCATGTTCCGATGAGTATATGGAACACAAATTGGACTTTTGGACTTGTTTTTTTTTTCTTTTTTTTTGGGGGGGGGATGCAAGGGTGGGAGGGTAGACCTGAGAGGAACAGTAAGCAAGTGTGATCAGCGTGCATTGTATGAAATTTCCAATAATTAATAAAAAATATTATGTTGGGAAAAAAGAAATATGTAATGCTAGCAGGACAGAGTCTTAATAAAAACACATTTAAAGGAAGAGGGAAAAAATTCCTCCCCAAAGGGCATATTTGGTGGACAAAAGGATAAACTTTCTGGGGAAGGGGAAATGACATGAATGCTCCCCATGGGACAAATATACACACAGAGCAAACTGAGGATAAGGACCAGGGCCTCATCAAACTCAGACTTGCACCAGACAATGTCCAGGGCATCAGCTGGCAGCTGGGTCCAGGTTCCATGCCTTGTCTGATTCTTTCTGCCAAGTCCACCCATGGACACGGTACACAGGTGCCATCATCTAAATCACTCTTCTAGGCTCCTGTTCCATTTTCCTACAGAGTCAGTTGTAGGCTGCAGAAGGATACTCTTGACAATGGCAGACCACGTGTACAGAAAGTTGTCCCTGAAGATTACAAAGGAGCTGGAAAAATCCTATTGCTCAGGCTTCACGGCTACCCTAACACTGAACCATGCATTGGTCACATGACTGTAATTTTCTGGTATGAGCATACCTGCCGCTCTCCCAGATGCCTGAAGGGGGAGCGTGTACACACATAGCCCTGAATGATGGTGACTGGCAAAGTCATGGTTCCTGTACTATTTGTCACTATTTCTGGGAATTCCACCTTCTACTAATAAGGTGATGGCAAACTCTGCAAAGGGTCCCTCATCACAGGATTACTGTGTCTCTTGGCTGCACCCAAAGGCCATGTTAATAACTGACCTGGAGTGTCCAGGTTTGGGATGTGTCTAGGATGTGTGCATTTAACAAATCCACCTTTTCAGGTCATGCCCCCACTGTTTAGCTATCATGACTATGTAGGAAGAGGTGGATTCTAAGATAGCTTCCAGCTAATTCTAGTCACAAGGCTCACGTTGTCACTCTCTGTCACCTTTCATCTCCACAGTGGGTCCTATGGTAGTTCACTTTTCATTTTCATCTCATAGATGAGCAAACCATGGCACAGAGGTTAAGTGACTTTCATTAAAGCCACACAGCATGTAAAGAGCTGGAATGAAGTTCAAGCCTGAATCTGACTCCAGGATCTAAATTTTTTTACTGCCACACTAAATAACAATTATAGTCATTAATTTTACGTGTCATTTTGAATATACCAAGAGGAGTTCAAATATGTTAAACATTATTCTGGACTTTCTGTGGAAATGTTTGCAGAAAACATCAGCCTTTGAATGGGTAGACTAAGCAAAGTGATTACCCTCACACCCCCCACCACAAGAGCACCCCCAGCCATGGTAACTGGTACCATCCAACTGGCCTAGGGACCAAAGAAAATAAAAAAGCAGAGGGGATGGGAATTCTCTTTTTCTGCCCAGCAATTGGAGCTGGAACATAGATCTTCTTCTGCCCTGGGTTTTAGGATGGAGTTATGCATCAGCTTGCCTAGCTAGGCTTCTGATTCAGTGAATCTTACCCTTTTCCTGGTTCCAGAATGAATGAAAAGGGGAAAAGAAAAAAGCCATTAGAGAGCTGGCATCCTTTCTCAGACATGAACTGTCTCTCTTGCTACTGTGCTTACCCCACCATGGCAGATTATATTCCCCTGAACTGCGAGCTGTAGTAGGACAGGCCCATAGGGTCGAGGAAATTGGCTCAGACCAGTAGCCAAGGCATGCACGTAACGTACTCCTTAAGAGCCAATCTGGAGTCTGCCTGAGGGCCTAGCAACAGGAGCTGTCAGAGTTCCTGATCATGCCAAGTCTGCCTGAGGACCTAGCAACAATCACTGTCAAACTTCCTGATCATGCCCAGCCAATGAGGAACAACCACACAGACTAGGTGCTGGGAGGAGGGTATATAAGGCCTACCCTGTTATTAAATAACTGAGTTCATTATTTGCTTTCAACGGACTCCAGTGTCTGTGTTGTTGACACCGCACCTTCTCACCCCCTCCCTCGAGGGAGCTGTTAGAATCCAAGCAACAGTGAGCCACAGTAACTCCCCACCCAAGCCGCTTTTGGTCCGTCCAGCGTTTGGTTACAGTTTTTCTCTACTTTTGAGACTGTCAGGCACTAGCTGAGGGCTCACTGCTCTCTGGTATGACCTGGTCTTAATCAATCCTTCTGTAATGACTCTTTCCAAATAAGACCACATGTAAAAGATGTTAGACCTTGAACATACTGGGGGGCACATTCGACAACCATAGTAATATTGTTACTAAAACTGAGAGGGGGGAAAAAAGGAGAATGGAGGCAGCTTGAGAATGACATCCTCCTTTGGAAGAAGACCTTGATAGGTTCTAAAATCAAGACACACAGAGATGTGTGCATCCAGACATAAAACTCCAATGTTAGCTCAGAAAAACATGTCTTCTGAGAAACAATCTTCCTCAAAACATTTACCTAAGGCTTAACAGCTTTAGGTTTTGTTCTTTTATAAAATAGACAAAACTTAAATATAAAGATTGTCTATTCTTTCAGAGATTACAATGGTTTCTTATGAGATTATTCAACTAGGCAATTATGATAGGAACTTCCTCCCTGGAAATCATCGAAAACATCAGAAAGTAGAAGTAATGAAGGAGGAAGGGGTGAGAGGGTAGAGGAAGGGAGAAGAATGTAGGGGAGTGGAGGGAAAGGCATGAATATATCCGAGTGTCATTCACGCTCACAGAAGCTAGCAGGGGCCTGGTTATAGTGGCCAGTTCACAAATGTTTGCTGAACCGCTGTACTGGTGTGGACACGTGCAGACGTCTCTCTCGAATCCAGCAGCCGCTGGGATCTGTGGTGTTCAGCACCCATGACTGCCTGTTTCCTTTCCTTTGCACCCAGCAGTCTAACTCTGCTTAATTCCAGACACAGCTGATGAGGAGAGGCCAGCACTGTCCTCAGATGAGCTGACCCCGTGGCAGAACAACACACAGAGCCCTTTCCTTCTGCCTAGAAGGTACTTGGTGCCTCTGACTCCTGAGTTACGGTCTCTGTAGCAAAATCGTAATTCCCTCCTTGGACAAAGGAACCGGCTGGTAAAAACCAAGGCGGTGTTATCTGTAGCTGTCTGGTTCAGCCACTTTCTCTGCAGGGGACACTGTGGCTGCTCATAAACACTGTCCAGCTCAGAAACAAGCAAATGCCACAGCTGCTGACGGATGCTCACAGCCTGTCACCAGCTCCACACCTCCCCATCCTGCCTGCCCCTCCCTTGCTGGCTCACCTCCAGCCGATTTCAAAGGCAACAGCAGTGACTCAGGCTTCTATAAAGAACAGGGACTGGCTTCGCACTCACCAGCAGGCTCCTGAGCAGGAACGTCAGAGCCAGACACCTCACGCCTCTGTCTCTGTGGTGCATGTCTCTCCTTCCACCATCCCCTCCCCCCAACATTTGCACCAGCACAATCGATATTCTTGCTCAGTCACAGACTGAGGACCTGCAAGGCCCACTTGCCATTCTCTGCTGACTCACCCAGGAGCCCAGCACTCCCTGTGGCTGGACTAGGAGCATGATGACTTTTTAAGTTAAGCTGGCACAGTGCATTTCCCCTTTTCCTGTTTCCCCAGAAGTCATCTAGGTCCTTACCAATGCCTTGTCACCCTGAGAGTCACAGAGAGGCTTGGAAACTTACAGAGGTCTGTGGGAAGAAACATCAAGTGTCATTCCTTTTAAGTGTGAGGAAGTCACTAAAAGAAGCCAACTCTCAAAAGATAGAAATAAAATAATTTTTATTTAGCCAGCAAATACCTAAAAAATGCTCAACGCCTTTAGCCATCAGGGAACCACAGATGGATAACTGCATTGAGGTTGCAGCTCACCCATGTTAGGAAGTTAATCATCAAGAGAATAAACTGTAACAAACGGTGGTGAGAACACAGGAAAGGGAACACTTTATACTGTTGGTGGGAATGTAAATTAGTGCAGACACTATAGAAATTAGTATGGAGACGCCACAAAAAAAACGAAAAGTGGAACTGCCCAGTGAACCCATTATACCACTCCTGGCTATGCACCCGAGGGAACTGAGTTGGCAAACCACAGAGATAAATTCATGCAGCACCATTCACAAGAGCAAATTATAGAATCAGCCGTCTAGAATCAGAGGTCTGTCCATAGATGAACAGGTAAAGAGTGAGCATGTGGTATATGTTGACAACAGCATTTTATTCAACCACAATGGAGAACACAGTGATGTCTTCTGCAGGACAGTGCATGGACCTGGAGATTGTCGTATTAAGAAAAGAAGACAGACTCAGAAAGACAAACATACATGCTGTCCATCATATGCAAAATCTAGACTTTTTTTTAAAGGCATAAACACCAAAGGGGACAATTTAGCAGAGCAAGAGACCCGTCAGGAAGGACAGAGGAACAACACGGGGTGATGAAAGGGTTAATAAGATCGAAGTAGATAAGATGCATCTGTGAAAACATCACAGTGCAACCTGTTATTTGACATGATGACCATACATTAATAAAAAGATTCAGGTCTGTAATCAATAAGCGCAATAGCTGCCGCCCTGGGGTAGAATCTTCATGTTCAGGTATGGTGGATTACCTAATTCTCTAACCGAACGGAGAAAGGCAGCAGTGTGGAAAGATAAGGTCATTTAAATTCCCCTCAGTCAGATGAGTGACAGAGGATCAGGGCCGCCTGGTGCTGTAGCTAGGATCTGAAATGGACCCACAGGACAGTGTGGCAAATATTTAGTCCACAGAAATCCCCCTGGAAGACAGTGAGACCTTTAAGAGGTAGGGCCTAGTGGAATATCATCAGGTTATTTGGGAGTGTACCCTCAAAATATATTATGAGACTCTGTATCTTCCTTTTCCTCTGCTGTTTCACCCGAGTTGGACATGATTATTGCAGTCTTGAATCAAAGCAGGTGTGATCTGCACCCTGAAACCCTCAGGAGACTTAGCCTATTAACATTCCCACGGAGGGGGCAAGGAGGCTCATTAGGCCCCTCCCCTCCCAAGGTTAAAGGTTAGATATTGCTGGAAGAGCAAGAGACCCCATGGAGTAGCTGCTGGTAGCTGCTCAAACTCTTGTAGATAACTCCAGTAAGCGTATTGCTTCACCAAGATGGACTTGGGTAGAATAATTTCTCTGGTCTGATGTTGTCCTCTCTTTCTAGGGTGAATAGAAGTAGACAGCCTTGAAAATATTATGCATCACTCTTACATTTCCCAGCTGTAAATGAGTGGTGTGGTAGTTTGAATGTAATTGGCCCCCATACGCGCACAGGGAGTGGCACTATTAGGAAGCATGCCTTTGTTGGAGTAAGTATGGCCTTATTGGAAGAAGTGTGTCACTGGGCGGGGTGGGGGCCTGGGGGGTGTGAAGGGGTGAGGTCTCCTATGTTCAAGCTATATCCAGTGAAACAAGCCACTTCTTGTCGACTGCAGGATCAAAATGTAGCTCCTTCTCCAGCACTGCATGCCATGTCCCACCATGATAATAGTGGACTAAACCTCTGAAACTGCAAGCCAGCCCCCATTAAATGTTTTTCTTTATAAGAGTTGCTGTGGTCATGGTGTCTCTTCACAGCAGTAGAAACCCTAACTATGACATGTAGTTTGCTCTGATTCATGCCCTTGCCATGATCTGTTGTCTTATCATAGGTTCAAAGGCCCAATAATGGCATAAAACTTCTAAAAATACAAGCACTAAATAAGTCATTTCTCCTTAGAAGTTCATTACCACAGGGATTTGTGCTAGTGATGGAAAACTAACACACTGGATCCCAGAGAGCAATACAGCCCATCTCTTCTTTTCAAAGAGGAGCCAGAAAAATGCCTGAAGCAGGCTTTGCCTCACACCCAAAGGTCACACAGGTGAGCAGGCTCAGGGGCCCCCTGTTCAGGGTTATTTTCTTGCCTCTATTTTGTGTGCTACCATGTGTGTTTGCGTGCTATCCTTACTTTGCTCAGCAAGGGGATGCTGTGGATCAGTGGTGCTGATAGCCTGCCGTCTTAGTTAGGGTTTCTATGGCTGTGAAGAGACACCATAACCATGGCAACTCTCATAAAGGAAAACATTTAATAGGGTGGCTTACAGTTCAGAGGTTTAGTCCATTATCATCATAGTGGAACATGGCAGCGTGTAGACAGACATAGTGCCTAGAGAAGTTGCTGAAAGTGCTACATCTTGTGCAGGCAGCGAGAAGTGGTCTGAGACACTGGGCGTGGCTTGAGCATATATGAGACCTCAAAGCCCGCCTCCACAGTGACACACTTCCTTTAGCAAAGCCGTATCTCTTAGTGCCATGCGCTTTGGAGGCCATTTGCTTTCGAACCACCATACTTTCTTAGGAATGGAAACTGCTTCTGTGTAAGGGCAATAGAGGAGCACATACAGCTAGGCACTCTAGAAAAAGCCAGAAGCAGAGCAACAGGGGAGTCCAGAGTAGAGCTACTCTGGCCAGTCCCTGGAGATGATGTGAAGGCTGTTTCCCCTAATGTCTGTCTATTACAGTTCACTGGTCCAGGAAGGAGGAAAATGGCATGACCCTGAGGTTCACAGAAGCGGGATGGAGAACCCTCCACCTGCCCCGTGGAAATCCCTGCAGAGACTGTGCTGGCTCGGCATCTGTGCATTCTGTTGCCCTGGATTGCAATGAAGGGCTGGGGTGGGGGGACAAGGAGGTAGATAAGGAAGGAGACAACTAGAGCAGAGGCATGAGACTTCCCAAGGCATGCCTGCTGCAGAGAATGCTGTCCCACAAACAGGCGGGGAGGGCATAGTGTTGGGCTTAAACCACACTGCTACAACAGGATGGTAGTTTGGATGAGACCTTTGACAGAGAGCAAAACTTTGAAACAGGAAGGAGCTATCTAACGTCCCTTCTTTAGGGACCTAAGATCACAGGACGGTGGACTCTGAGCTGAGTGGCCCAAGAGGCTATCGAGCTGTTTGTGTATCTTGGGTAGCAAATATTTGCACAATCAAGCTGCTTTGAACAATGGCCGAGGAGGCAGCATATCCCCTGCACAGCCCACTCTTCCACTTAGAGAGCTTTAAACTCAAAGGTCAGAGCAGGCCCCCTGATGCCTCTGATCATTGCCCTAACCCTTCCCAGGATTCTCTGAAGACAACTTACAGCAGCTTTTCAGCATGGTTTAGAGACCGTGTGCCTATGTGTACATATGTGGGGGAGAGCATAGGAGAGAGGATGGATGGGGAGAACTCATGCATTATTTAAATGAATAATCTTGCCAATTACCAACAACTAGCAAGCCAGTGGTTTCTTTATTTGATGGTTATCATGACAAATTCCAAAATCCTGATTTATTTTTCAGAACTCTGTTCAAAGTTTGCAATTCTTATACCAAGGAAACGAGCTCAAGTAACCTTCAAATGATAGCAGTGAGACTATCAAACAAAAGCCAGCCGTTCCCCAGGGTACATGCCCTGTTAAGTGCTAATGACTACCTTCCCTGTCCCTAAGCCCAGAAGCTTGCAGTCACTGGTGCCTGGCTCTCTTGTATCCCCTCCTGTCACGTTTGCTGCACCCTCTGCCTCAGCACATCGCCCTCCTTCCATTCACAACTGTACCCCTCACTCTCCTGCTCCAAGCTCCCTGTGCCCACAAGGTTCCAACCCAACCACCCATTACTCAAGACCTCCCAAGGACACAGCCAGTTTGGGTCACCAGCATGGTACACCCACCACCTCGCTTCTGTGTTGGCAGCACATGCTTGCATTTGAACTTGGTGTTGGGACTCCTGGCCTATGTCTCTCTCATCTACATATCCTTCCATTTCTGTAGCCCAGTCTCATCGCCTCCCTCTGTTGCCCAGGCCCACGTCCAGTTGTTCACTCTCTGGCCCTTCCAGTGATAGGCCCCTTTCCTTGAGCCACGATCTTCTCTGAAGTGTTCTTTCTTGTGTCCATCCACAAGAGGGGAAATGTGACTTCTTCTACAGCAAGAAGGCACATTCCATGTCCAAGCCTTAGCTTCAGCTTCCTTGGGTTTGACATTGAAGGTAGATCCACAGATCTGGCAAGCTCAGGGATGACATGTAGCTACCTCTTTCAGACTTGTCTTTGGTTTTGTTGTGTCTTAGCATGACGGTTTTGTGGTCAGTGGATTTTCTGGAACTACTTAGAAGTTACTCATAAGAACATGGGTAACTCATAGCAATGAAGCCTCTCTTTTCTTGGCAGTTGTTAAGCACTTACATATCCTCAGGCAAAGAAGAGCTCTCAGGAGCCTTGCAAGCCTTCCCCTTCTTCCATGAGGAATTGTTAGGGGCCTAATCTGTGATAGTCTGATTCAAGACAGTGACCATCATATCCAACTTAGAGGAAAAAGCCACATGAAATGAATCAAGGAGAAGATCGCTATCATTGTAGAAAGTGCTTGT